CACAAAAAAAAAAAAAAAAAAAAAAGTCAGTATTACTGGCCAGAACTAGGAAAAACCTAGTGCTAACTGTTGTTTGCGTGTCTGTCTGCAGGATGCATGCACTGAGAAGGTTGAATGACCTAAAGCTGACCCCCATTGCAGGAAGGAATGGACATGCTGGCTACAAAAGTCAATAATGGACCAATGGGAACACTGCTCAGATGAACCAATCAGAACCGCACCAGTTCCAGTCCTTTCTTTGTATAGACTAACCTAATTGAAGACTTGGGCAGGAATTATTCCTCTACAAAAGCCTATCCCCTCACACTTTGGGGGAGGCAGTCTTTTGAGCAAGCTAGCTCCATGCCCCTCAACTGATGTCACCAATAATAAAAGTCTTCCTCTTCGGTGGGAAGAGATTGGCTCTTCTGGCAGTGAGCAACTGATTCCGGGCCCTGTCTAGATTGGTGCAGTAACAACAGCCTACCCGAAGTTAAAGAATTCAGCAGAAGCAGGCAAACAACCTCGGCTGGAGGACTTGAGGAAGTAGACTCTGAAGGGTGATTTTCTCTCACATGTGCACATGTGCACTATTATGAACTTTTGTAAAAAAATAACTTTCTTTCTAAACATGTGAAATGTATACTTTTGCAAACCTAAGTTCACTTTTTCACTGACATAAGGTTCAAGAATACTTTGCTCATCAGTTTGTATATTTCCCTTGACTATAAATATCTTCCCATGTATTTGATGTAGAAATTGAAACAGAATATTAAGTCTCTTTCTTAACAAATCTGGAGCAGCAAATTCTTTGCTAAAAACATAGTTCTTTTTGTCAAAAGCTGTTGTTTCCTCAGGGGAAGTGAACATTATATCTGCGACATCTTATAAAGAGAAATTAAAGGGAGCTCCTTTACCCAAGTGACAAGTTTCAAATTTGAATTCTGTGTCAAAAGAAGGATATCTCTTTGTGATTTAAAAAATAATAATAATAATTAAAGGATGTCATGGCACATTTTCCAATGACAATTGCTTTTCAGATCCCTCACATATGTTATGTGCATATTGCTTATGACACATTATAGATCAGATAATACAGCAATGGGGGTTTAGAGTCGGATGGATTAACCGTAAGTAGGCAAATCGTTATTCTGCCACATGATTGTAAAGTTCAGCCTCCCTGCCAAACAATTATCAATTTAATCCTTAATAGTTACACGGTCAAATTAAATACTGATTTTTCCCCATTTAATGTAACTAAGGTTTTTTTTAAAATCATCTTCCAAATATCCTCTACCTTTAACAACTTCTGCAGCACATAGTAGCCTTTAATAAACATTGGATAGTATTTTTATTCTCTTTCCTGGACCCTGCAGGATATGAGAAAGAAATGCTAGACAAAGAACAACATTCAGAGGACTCATATTTTTGTAAAAGGAAAACACTAGTGCTGTGGCAAGCTGGGTGCCTCCCTGGGAGGCCCTGCCCAAGCATGGTACATACCTCATGGCCCCCGCCCAGAGCATTGACGAGGCGTCAAGCTCTGTGTCAGAGCCCTGAATAGGCTCAGTGGAACTTGACAAAGACCTACAGACAAGGGAGAAAATGCCCATGGAAACCGTGTTCTAACATGATCACCAAAAACCTCAATTATTGAGAGCTAGTGCCAACCTCTGAGCCAAGGACCTTTCACGCATCATCTCACTGGGTCCTTTCAATCCCCGTGATATAGTTACTGCTTACAAACACTGGGATTTAGAGGTTAAGTAACCTGCCCACTGCTAAGTGGAAATCTTAGATATAAATCCCAACAGATGGGTGTTTTTTGGATTAGAGTCACACACACTCCAAGATGATAGGTTCTAGATTTGTCCCCTGGCTCCCCTAAACCCCCTAGGACACCAAAAGACATATTGCAGCTGAGGGACTGATTCAGCCCCTCACTTCACATCCCAGGAAGTTGCTCCAGTTCCTGAAAAAGCCTTCTGCAAGCAGTGCTGCAATGGAGATGAGTGTAATTCGATGTACTCTGAAATGAATGAAGATAACTCTTTTTTTTTTGGGGGGGGGGGGGGTTTTAGAGAAATCACCCCCCAGAGGGGATGGCCACGCCGCAATCCCTTCTCCTCCATTCTCCTCCAGGGATCTTGGGCACACACGCCCGGCGTGAGTTTAAGCCACTGGGTCCAGGACTCGAACCACGGTCGACTACGTGGGAGTCCAGCGACATAGCCATTACGCTAACCGCTGGTCCCAATGAAGATAACTCTTTAACGGTAGGGAAGGGCTGCCAAGCTGGCGCCAGCTTTGAAGTCTACAAACTCCGCCCATGACTCAGTCCGCAGGCTGAGTTCTTGACAATGCTTCCAGGTGGAGGGTCTGTGTGGCGTTAAAGACGGGGAAGCTAGGCCAGCCTCAGTGGCATAGACACAAGGGACGCTCCCTGACGCTGAAGCCATATGAGAAGGTCCCAGGTTTGGTCCCCAATCTTCCCTGGGTACGGGACTTGCACATGTGTGTCCATGGTCCTGGTGGATTCTAGTATAAACGGCCCTCTCAGGAGTGCTTCTCTTTCTCTCTCTCCCTCTCAGAAGAAATAAATAAGGGGTGGGGGGAGGAATAGAAAGCCACCTGGAAGAAAGGTAGAATGGAATAGTCATCTCCTGACTTCATTCTTCTTCCTTCCACCTTGGCAAGCAGTCCCAAGCCGATGCTTTCCAAGAAAAATCCTTGTACATATTGTCTTCTTAAGAGTGAAATAAGGGGGACCAGCAGGAGGCACATTTAAGGTGCTGGACTCCCATATGGTTGACCACAGTTTGAGCCTGGACCTGGTGGCTTGCTTTCTCACTTTTTTTTTTTCTCTCTCTCTCTCTGGTGGGTATACATGACCCATAGATAATTTTTAAAGATAATAATAATGATAAATAAAATTAAATTAATAATTCTAAAAAAAAAAGGAGTGAAAGAAGGAAATGGGGTCCAACCTGGGTTAAAGGAGGAGGTAGAGAAGGGGGCCATGGCTGGTGCAGCATCTGTACTGAAGGAAGGCAGCACAGACGAAAGGGAAGCCAGCAAGAGTGGAGCTAAACTTGCCCTCTTTTCTCCCCTCTTCTCCATCCTCTGTCTTCCCCTCTCTGGCCTGACCAAAACCTGTCCTTAAGAAAGGACCATGGGCTGGCCCCATAGCACAGCAGTTAAGTGCTGTACATAGACAGCCAGATCCCACCTGACCAACCATAGTTGCAATCTGGCCCAGGTGACTTGAAAAATACACTGGGCATGTGTGCCCCAAATCCCAAAAGGATGGAGGATAAAAAATCAGGAAGAGGGACTGTGGTGTGACCACATATCACTGGAGTTTCTCTCTCTCTCTCATACATGCATATGCACACGCCTTTTTACGATTGAAAAAAGAATGCATTTGAGTGAGATAAGGATTGCTTCAATAGAGACCAAAGTGAGAAAGTAGCCCTAGTGTTTTCTATAACTTGTTAAAAAGCTTTTAAGAATCAATGAACAAGTGAGAGAAATGGAATTTGTTGGGTTCAGGATTGTTTCCCCAGCATCTGGCTCCTTAAAATTTGTAGAATAGGGGCAAGTAGGCCTGGTGGTTAAGGGACTAGACTCCCACATGGCCAACCATGGTTTGGGTCCTGGGGCTGGCAGCTTGCTTTCTTGCTTTACCTCTCTATTTCTCTCTGTTCAAATTTAAGAGAGAGTGAGCGAGAGAGAGATAGATAATGGTGACTAAAATTCAATAAAATAATTCTTTTTAAAAATTGTAGAAGAAATAAATTTTGAAGGTCACCACGTCCTTCTAAGAACCCTGAAATTGCACCGGCTATTGGCCCAGGCTGTGGACCATGGGCCACAAGGTGTTGGACAGAGTTCTGAGCAGAGACTAAGTTCTGAAGATTTCCAGGCCTGCATGGGCCCTAGGCAACAGAATGTGTAAAAATAAATATCACCAAACATCACTACATGTTCCCAGGGGCACCCTCACAGCTCCTAGCAATGAGTTATATGCTTCACCCCAAGCTCCAGAACAGTAGGGTGCTGGCTCTACCACGGGAGGGTGTGTGCCCCTATCTCCTGGCCCACAGAGCAAGGGGTCTGCGTTAAGCCTTCTTTGCTTTTATGAGCCATCCCTCCCACCCCCAATTCGTATGTTGACACCATAATCCCAATGGACCATGTTTGAAGTAAAGAAGTAACTACAGTTAAATGAGGTCATAAGAAACAGTCTGCAAGCCAGGAAGAAAGCCCTCATGAGAAACTGAGTGGGCCAGCACCCAGAACTTGGACTTCTAGCCTCCAGAACTGTGAGGAAATAAACTTCCGTTGTGAAAGCCACCCAGTCTATGGTATTTTGTTGTGCAAGCCTGAGCAGACACCTACCTCCTCTAATGCTTCAGGATTCGTACTCAGAGCAGTTCAAACGAGCAGACATACAGTCTAGGCCCACTCTCACTCAAGCCAATTTCTTCCTCTTACACATCTTTTATTTTTAAATTGGCATATCATAATTGTGTATTTATGGTTACTTTAATGTTTTTCAATACATGAATACAATATGTAATGATCAAATCAGAGCAATAACTCTATCCACTATTTAAACGTTTACCATTACTCGGTGTGGTCAACATCTGAAATCCTCTCTTCTAGCTATTTTACATATACATCAGGTGATCACCAGCCATAGTTACTCTATGATGCTATGTAGTACTCTAGTACCCATCCCACTTATCAATATATACTAAATGGTATATTCGTGAGCCATAAAAGAGGACAGGTTCCTGTCATTTGCAACAACCTGGAAAAACTTAGAGGAAACAGTGGTCAGTAAAATAAGCTGGCACTGAAAGAGGAACAGTATATGTTCTCACTCACTCATGGAAGCTACCGGGTTTGATCACATAGGGATCTCCATAGCACATGGCATGGAGATGAAGGCTCTGGATCCCACATGGCCGACTGTGTGGGTCAAGTCCCAGATCCAGTGGCTTGAAAACACACAAGGCATATGTGCACGCGTGCCCAAAAGCCCAAGGAGAGAATGGAGGAGAAGGGATTTTGGTGTGGCCATGGCCCCTGGGGGGTGATTTCTCACTTTCTGTCTCTCTCTTCCATGAACACATGCAACCTATGGCAAAATTTAAAAAAAAAAAAAATTGATCACACAGAAGTAGAAAGTGAAACAGAGCATACCAGAAGCCAGAAGGGGAGAGGGGATAGGGAGAACTTAGTTAGCAGATACTGTCATGGATCGTTCATTCTGCACAAATCACAATTGGACACGACACTGCTTTCTCCTACACTCTGCTGCACCTTTGCCATGTCTCAGATATTAGATTATATAGATAAAGAGACAGATTCTGTGCAGTAAGAATGGGAAAACCCAGGTGCACTGCGAGGCCCTGATGGTACTAGAAAATCTTTTTTGATCTGTCTTGAGCTCGGGTCACACCATAAAGGTTAGCTTCAGGGATCTCTATTAAGACAGTTGTGTTGCTCTAGGGTGGGGGATATTATTTTAACACCTTTTCTCTCTCTCTCTCTCTCTTTCTCACACACACACACACACACACACACACACACACACACACATAGTGCTGTGGGAAATTACGCAGTGGTCATTTGTTGGTTGTCTCCTAAACAAAGTTTTCTTTTCAACAAAATTTTCTTTTCAAGAGTCATGAAATCTGTACTGTAGCCACCTGGCTCCCTCTGGAAGAATTGAACAAAGAGAAATATAATGTAATCAGGGGTGGGGGAAGAAGGTTCAAGAGCCTTGGGTGAGAACGCTTAGGGACCAGAGCTGGAATCTAGGACTAGATTGCGAAACTGAAATCTGCAAGCCAGGTTTGCTGACCTGAGAGTTTCTCACATATCTATGTCCCGAAAGACAGAAAACTACAATAAAGTACTTGATGCTGACACAGCATAAACTCCAGCAAAGTTAATAAACAATTATACAGCATTTAAGATAACACTTTTAATAATTAACTCATTATCTTGGAAGTAAGAAACAAGGCCCCAGGCTTACAGACCTGAGTAGGTGAGTTACTGTGTGATGTGGGTCAGCACAGGGAGAGCTGCCGCAGTGGGAGGGTGGCCTGTCAGAGTCGGGCGGGGCGAGCGGCCAGGGACACCAAGAGCTGTTGATTGACAACTGTGCCTATACTGCCACGCCTTGCGGTGGCCACGCAGTGCTGGATGTTAATCACAAGTCTTTGCCCTTTCCAAACTGGAACCCCATCAGCTGCTTAAGAGAGGGGGCTAGAAAGACATGGTTAGAAATATAGGGGTCTCTCTTTGAAACTGTTACAAAGTGTCTTTGCTTTCTGCGTATTGTCCAGTTACTTCATTAATACATCAGGCCTTTGGAAATGTTTTAGGCAGGTCGCCATCTGTTCTATGAAATGACAAGATGGCTCTGTTGTCTAGTGGCTGGGCCTTCATCGCCTTGGTGGTTTCCGGAAAGCAGGCCCTAATCACCCAGCATA